CCCTCGCACGCACTCGCACCCACATCACCATGAACCCCGCCCAGCCGCCGACCTCCAGTGAGGACGAGTCCACGCCACGGCCCGCGACGCGTCCGCCCGAAACGCGTCCGCCAGGCGCCGACCGAGGTAGAGATCCTCGAGCCGCTGATCCCGACCATCAAGAACAACCTCGAGCACCGGCACGCGTTTGTGCGGCGAAACGCCGTGCTCGCCGTCTATTCCATTTTCAAGTCGTTCGAGCCCCTGATCGCCGACGGCACCGCGCCGATCGAGGCGGCGCCGCGCGCCGGAACCTTCCGCCAAAGCGTCGCGGAACCTTCCCGTAGGCCCCGAGCTGGTGGAGGCGGTGCTGCAGCAGGAGCAGGACGCGTCGTGCAAGCGGAACGCCTTTCTGATGCTCTTCCACTGCTGCTCCGAGCGCGCCGTCGCGTACCTCTCCGAGAACCTCGAGCAGGTTGCCGGGTGGGGAGACATCCTGCAGCTCGTCGTGCTCGAGCTCATCCGCAAGATAGTGCGCGCGAACCCGTGCGCACAGTCGCGGCACGACCGCCCTCTCCTCGGAGCCTCCTCGCCAGCGCGTCCCTCGCCGCCGTCTCGTAGGTACGAAAAGTCGCGCTACATCCGCTGCATCCTCACGCTCTTCGCTTCCGAATCGGCGCCCGCACTGCCCGCCCCGCCCGCCCCGCCCGCCCGCCTCGCCCGCCCCGCCCCGCCCCGCCCGCCCCGCCCGCCGCCCCTCGCTCGCCGCCCGCGCGAACGCCTGTCGCCACCCCGGCCGCGCCGCCTCCCGCCCCACCGACGAAGCGCCCCCCCGATCCCCTCCCCTCCCCCCCTCCCACACCACCCCCCTTCCGTGACACGTCCCGACTGCGCGTCGGTCGCAGGCGGCGGTGGCGTATGAGTGCGCCTCTGTGCTGGTCGCGCTCTCGTCGTCCGCCACCGCCATCCGTGCGGCCGCACAGTCGTACACGCAGCTGCTCTCGTCGCAGTCGGCACCGCGATCCTCCGGCGGCCTCTCGGAGCCTTGCGATCTAGCCCTTCGTGAGCCGTCGAGGAGCGCTCTCCGTAGGACAACAACATCAAGCTCATCGTGCTGGAGCGGCTGCAGGACCTGAAGCGGCACCACTCGAAGGTGCTTCAGGAGATGATCATGGACATCATCCGCGCGCTGGGCTCGGCGAACCTCGACATCCGCAAGAAGACCCTCGAGATCATGCTCGACCTCATCGTGCCGAAGAACATTGGCGAGGTGATGCAGGCGCTCGCCGAGACGTGACTACCCGAGATTACACCCGAGATGACCCGAGATGACCCGAGATGGCCGGTGATGCAGGTTCTCAAGAAGGAGGTGCAAAAGACGCAGGGCGAGGAGGGCGAGAAGTCGTCCGAGTACCGCGCCATGCTCATCAACGCCATCCACAGGTCTGCGATCCGGTTCCCGGAGTCGGCGTCGATGGTCGTGCCGGTGCTAATGGACTTCCTCGGCGACGCCAACCAGTCGTCGGCAGTCGAGGTGATCCTCTTTGTGCGCGAGATCCTCGAGACCTTCCCGCACCTGCGCGAGTCGGTGATGAAGAAGCTGCTCGAGACCTTCCCAACCATCCACTCGTCGCGCGTCGCGCGCGTCGCCCTCTGGCTCATCGGCGAGTTTTGCGTCGCGGGCGAAGACGTCGCCGCCGGCTTCACCACGCTCAAGGCGTCGCTCGGCGAGCCCCCCTTTGTGCCGCCCGCGGAGGACGAGGCCGCCTCCAACGGCCCCGCAGCCGCGCCGCGCCCGGAGGGGAGACCAGTGGTGCTGGCGGACGGCACCTACGCGTCGGTCGTCGCGGCGGACGAGGCGGTGGGCGGCGACGACGGCACGCAGAGGCTGCGCGGCCTGCTGCTGGGCGGCGACTTTTTCCTCGCCACGGTGGTGGCCACCACGCTGACCAAGCTCGCGCTCCGCTCGCGCGAGCACCTGCCGACGCGGGCGGCCAACATGGTCGCCGCCGACGTGATGCTCATCCTGACCGGGCTGCTGCAGCTCGGCAAGGCGGGCGGGGCGGGCGCGACGATCGACGCGGACTCGCAGGAGCGGCTGCAGACGTACCTGCACCTGCTATCGAGCCCGGGGGAGGAGGTGCAGGCCCTCTGCTTGGTCCACTGCCGCGAGGTCTTCTCGGCGATGCTGCGCGAGCGCGCGGGCCAGGAGGAGGCGGAGAAGCCGGCAAAGGACGTCGCGCCAGAGGTGCACCGGCAAGCCGACGACCTGATCTCGGTGCGGCAGCTCAAGGGGGGCAAGTCCGACACCGCGGCGCTCGAGCTGGACGACGACGACGACCCCGTCTCCTCCGCCGCGGGCGCCTTCACCGGCGAGCTCGACTTCGCCGCGCGTCTCAAGCGCGTGACGCAGCTCACCGGCCTCTCCGACCCGGTCTACGCCGAGGCGTACGTGCTGGTGCACTCGTACGACATCATGCTGGACGTGCTCGTCATCAACCAGACGCAGGAGCCGATGACCAACCTCTGCCTCGAGCTCGCCACCGTGGGCGACCTCAAGCTCTGCGAGAGGCCGACCGCTTACACGCTGGCGCCGGGCGAGTCCAAGCACATCAAGGCAAACATCAAGGTTTCGTCCACCGAGACGGGCATCGTGTTCGGCTCGATCGTGTACGACGCGCACGGCTCGACGCCGCCGGGCGGCGGCGAGAACCGCAACTGCGTGGTGCTCAACGACCTCCACATCGACATCATGGACTACATCGCGCCGGCGTCGTGCTCCGACCTCGCCTTCCGCGCGATGTGGGCCGAGTTTGAGTGGGAGAACAAGGTTGCGGTCAACACGGACATCACCGAGGTGAAGGAGTTCCTCGAGCACGTGATGAAGAGCACAAACATGCGCTGCCTCACCCCGCCCGCCGCGCTCGAGGGCGAGTCGGGCTTCCTCGCCGCCAACCTCTACGCAAAGTCCATCTTTGGCGAGGACGCGCTCGTCAACTGCTCGGTGGAGAAGCGGCTGGACGGCAAGATCTGCGGCTACATCCGAATCCGGTCCAAGACGCAGGGCATCGCGCTCTCGCTCGGCGACAAGATTACGCTCAAGCAAAAGGGCCCGGCCTGCTAACCGCCGGCGCCCTGCGCTGTGCCTCGCCGCGGACCGAGCGTCCGAGCGGCGGCGCGAGCAACTCGTGTGCCTGCGAGCAACTCCGTCGTGTTCCACTTTCTAGATACATAGTATGATGAGGGGAAAATCCGGTCCGACTTGCGAGACCGCCTATCGGCGTATTGCGTATATCGCAAAAAAATAATCCAATCGCCGTGTAAAGCCGTAGGTCGGACGCGTCGTGTGAGAGTGCGTGTCGTGTTCAGGTCTGGTGTCCATTATAGCTCCGAGTAGAGGGGGCGGTCTGCTGCTAGGGGAAACCCGGAGCGCGGAGCCAACCCTCGGAGACCCGTGTTTACTTTACGGCCCTCTCCCTGCGAACACGCGCACCCCCGCAGGGCTAGGGCTCTCTTGCCCGCAACCCGATGCCAATCATCCGGCCCGCTGGGTGCGCTTCTTAGCCCCCCGGCCCTGGATATGTGCGCGGTTAATGACTGCACTCCAAGTGCTCCAAGTGTACGTGTACCACCCGGCTAAGCCTAAGGTGTAACGGCTGGAACACCCCCCCCCCCGGCCTTATCCCCTAATACAACGTCAACGAGATAAGTGATAACCGTGTACTAAAGACGACCTTCGTACGAATATTCTTGAGCCTTGAGAGGTATGAGGATGACAAGGTCTTGTTTTCTTCTTTCTTCTTCTTCTCTCAATCTTGATCCTTGTGACATGGCTTGTGAATAAAAGCGTATTTTCTTCCTCTCACTAACCAGGTAGGTCTGTGAAGATGGCAAGAGAACGATTAGCAGACTTGGACTTTGATGAGGTAACTTTTTGACGCGTCCTGCATGCGCCGCATTTCACCACTTACTTTTGTTCGAGAAGTCGTTCACCTGCCGCGCCGTTGTCCAGCCCCAGTCCCAGTGGGAGAGGGACAGGGAGCGGCAGCAGGCCAAGGAGGGCAGTGCCCCACCGCAGCCTGTGCCTGCTGCCACCTCCGCCGCGGCACCGCCCGCAGCACCGCCTGCCGCCGCTGCAGCTCCGGCCGCAGCACCGCAGGCACACCCGCAGCACCAACAGGTGCAGCAACCCCAGCCCAACGAGTCGCCCGAGGGGTGGACCAGGGTTGGGAAGGGCGGCATGCCGGACAGGTTCACCATGAGGAACCCTGGCCGCAAGCCGCCGGGCAAGGCGGTCAAGCGCAAGCCTGACCGCCAGCCCGCACCCAAGGGAGGTGGACCCCCACCCCCCTCTCCCAAGGTGAACAAGAACAGGCTGAGCGCGCTGGGCGCTGGCCCTTCTGGCACCAGCGGGAGCCACGAGCGCGCACCACCGCGCTCCCCCTCCCCCTCCTCGCCGCCTGCCAAATCACCGCGGCCGTCTGTGCCTGCTTCCGAGTATGACTCCGAGTTCGACTTTTCCGACGCTGAGGGAGGCGCAGGATAGGACGGCAGGGGTCGTACACGACGCAGTTCAGCAGGCTGTGATGCAATACGGCTATGACGACGAGCTCTTCCAGGCGTGGAGGGACGGCGAGATACGGCGAAAGGACTTGCCGGAGGAGGTGGTGGCTATGGCTTTGGACCTTTGCGAGAGGTGGCGAGCGGAGCAAGCGCGGTGTAGGCGCGTCCACGCGGCGCAGCGGCTCTCCCGCGACCCCGGCCCCTCTCATAGCCGCAGCCGTAGCCGCAGCCCTAACTCTTGCCGCTCTTCCGTGTCGGGTTGTGACGAGGGGTGAGGGGACACGGATTGAGGATCCCTCACACCAAGATCGTGCAGGGCGGGGACACATGTCCCTAAATCCCATCTGGTCTCAGAGTTTGCCCGTTTTATTTATTTATTTAAGTGCTCCAAGTGCCAATAACTCAAACATATCCTTAACACTAAGGCTTTTTGCTCAGTCTGGGGGTGGTTAGGGCGTCTACAATCTGGTACGGCGGCGATGCTCCTCCAAGGTCTGCATCACGTAGTCGCGGTAGGCGGTGTGCGACCAATCAGGCTGCCCATACGTAGACGCCGCCGGCTCCTGCTCCCGCGCGAGCAAGCTGCGCCGTGACTCGCATTGCGAACTGCAGCCATGACACGAGCGACAGCAGAAGCCCTGCATCCATGGTTCGCCGCATTTTCCCCACCGCACCTGCTGCTCGCAAGTGTAGCGCGTGTTTGAGGGCACGTCGGAGCAGTCACTACACGTGTCCGGAGGCGGCGGCGTGGCGTGCGTCAGTGCGACGGCCGATACGTTGGCATAGCCCTGGAGCGACGCCATGCCCGCAAAGAGGGTGGGCTGCGACACCGCCGTCCACCCCCACGCGCCGGCGTAGGCATGGCTGTGCGCCCAGCCATACAGCTGCTCAGCGGTGCGTCCCTCGGCTTTCTGACCGAGCACAAACTCGCCGATGAGCAGCGGAGCGGAGACGCGGAAGTCTGCCTCCGAGTGAAGAAACGGGGAGGTGGGGTTGAACTTGCCTTTGTGGGCATACGAGTGCACCTGAAGAAAGTCGAGTCGAGCCCCAGCCGCCGCGGCCGCGCCGACCGCTCCGCGAAGGCACTCGTCGGTGTAATAGTTGCGCTTGCCGAGGGCGTCGGAGGAGGCGAGCTCCGACCACGACCCGACCGTGACCAGGGAGGCGGGGGCAGCGGCGTGGATCGCCGCCGCCTGGGCACCCACGAAGCGGAGCACCTGCTCCATAGGTATGGGCTCGGTTGGCTGCGCCCAGCCCGCGCCAGTGCGAGCGAGGGGGGTGGTGTCGTAGCACGGGTTCGGGTCGGCCACGTCCGCAGCGACGGAGCCCTCAGGCTCGTTGATGACGTCCCAGCCCCCAAGGGCGGGCTCGTCGCGCAGCGAGCGCACCATCGGCACGAGTACGGTGTCGATGTAGCTGTCCAGTTTCGACATGTCGGAGAAGAGGTCCTTCACGCGCTGGTGTTTGAGAACCGCGCCATTCCACAGCACGAAGAAAATGAGGATGTCGAGCTGTCGCGCCGCGCGCAGGTAGCGGCGCATGTCGGAGATGAGCGATCCCGTCGAGTCAGTGGCGACGACCACCCCGTCGGCATCGAACACGGGCGTTTTGTAGCCCTCCACGTGAAGCCAAACCCTCATCGAGTTGCCGCCTGCCCTCGAAGTGTTGACGAGCACGTCCTTGAGGGCACAGAAGTGAGCGTTGCTCTGACCGTTGCCAAAGTCGTTGCCGTACCGAAGCCAGGCCAGGTTTACGCCCGACAGGAAAACCGGAACCCCATCCCACGCGAGGGTGCGGTTAAGAACCGTGAGCCGTGCCGAAGGCGGGGAGGAGGGCGGCGGCGGCGAGGAGGGCGGCGACGGCGGCGGCGAGGGCGTTGATCGCGAGGGCGGCGGCGAGGCCGGCGGCGATGGCGGGAGAGAGGGCGGCAGCGAGGGCGGCAGCGAGGGCGGCAGCGAGGGCGGCGGCTGCACAGCTAATGGTGGCGAGGGGATCTTCGTACCAAGAACATCCGCCACCGCTAATGCCACCTGCCCGAGAGAAAAACCCACAGCGATTGCGACCGCAGCAGCACTGACAACAAAAAGAGAGCAAGCGATTCTCACTGCAAGCCTGCTGCTCACGCGCAAAGTGATGGTGATATCCTCGCTGTCGAAAGCTTCATACCTTGTCGAAGGTTTCGCCGCCACTGGGTGCACTGGCGGGGCAGTTCCTGATCCATCCGCCTCAACTCCCCAAGTACTTGAGGCAGCCTCATGCTTCGGCTCGACAGTCGGCTCAGCCGTCGGCTCAACGTTTGGCATCGGTCCCGTTTATGATAGAGCGCGGCATAAGGCAGAGGCGCCTCACCTGCCGGGGTGCGCAAATGGATTCTTTTTTCGCACGACACCGGTAAAATTCTTTTTTCGCTCAGATTCCTACCCGAAACGGCCTTTCGCAGTTGGGCTCAGCGGGGAAGGGAGGCGGGTCGGCGTGTTGATTGAGCCGCGTCACGCCCTCGCCGTGACCGAGCTTCGGTTTGCACGGCAGTCACTCGACTCTTGCCAGTGCTGCCCTGGCCTTCGCTGTTGTTCGCCTTGACTGTTCGAGTTCACAAGTTGGGTTAGAGTGCTGGGTGTGTCCGCGCCAGTGCTGGCGTCGCGTTGTACCCGTGTCGATGGGCTGCGTCGCGACCGCGGACACAGCGCCGGCGATGCCGCCGCACAGCATCGCTTGCCAGGTAGCGAGCGGGGGCGGAGGCGTGCCATCCGCGCCGGCCGGCCCCTGCGCCAGCCGCTTGAGCTGGCCAAAGCCGAGGAAGCGGATCGCGTTGGTGGCAGCCCCCTTGGTGACCGCCGGCCCCACGCCCTGGAAATATCCGGCGACACCTTCGGCGCGCCAGATGCAGGCCACGCAGTGCACCAACCTGATTGAGTAAGTGCAGGGGTTCAGAACTTCGCCGGGAAGCGTGCGCGGCGGACGGTGGCCCGCCACCCCTCGTATTGACGCGGCCCGCGCGGCGACTGGTCGTGGATCATCTTGATGGCGATCACTTGGTTGGGCGTCTGACACAAGGCCGCCTCGGCCATCCCCGCCGCGAACCCGTTGATGGTGTCGGCGGTCGGCGTGCCAAGCCGCTGATGCATCCCGCGTCGCTGCGACGCTGCCGTCAGCGTCTCAAAAGTCCCGAAGCGTACCGCGGAGCGCGGGCCGCCAAAGATCGCCCACGACAAGCCGCCGCGATACAGGCCAAGAACGCCACGCTCGCGAACAGTGGCCGCTGCGCAATGGAATGGGCTGCGAAATCGGTCCTTGCCGGCGAACAGCGCCGAAGCCTCCTGCTGGAGCTGCATCTGCGTCTTGATGTATTCGAATGGAAAGGTGACGGAGATCTCAAGCGTGCCCGCCACCCACCCGGCGGCGGTCGCGCTGGCGAGGCTGTCTGACATCGCCAGACCGTGTTTTTTCTCGTTGTTTTGTCGCTCGCTCCGCTCGCCACCTCACGCTCCGTACTGTGCTGCATGAATGCTTGCCCAGGTGTGAACAACACCTCGTGACCACGGCGCCGCAGGCGCCTGTTGATGGGTCCAGGTGATAGCCCTGGATGGGCAATGCATACGCCTAGTTGGACCTCAGATCGCCCGACCGCGTCCCGGTGCTTTGTGCGGTCTCGGGCACCGCACCCGTGCTGCCACAACGTCTCGCGCGCGCGTGAACAGGGCTCCAGGCCCCAAATTACGTGTGAGTGTTAGAGTTGTTTGGTATTGCTAAAATCTCTCTCTCTGCCACAAAGCACAATGTGCTGCCACAAAGCACCACTAGCGATTTCGCGCGGAGGGCGTAGTGAAGCGCTGGGGCGCTCACTGTGTGTTATTCGGGTGGGGATCCATCAGTGGTAAGCGGCTTTAGTCACAGATCCAAGCTCAGACGTCACACCAACACCACAAACACGCTCACTTCGCCGCTGCTGTAGATGGGCCTCCGGGGGCCCATACTACGTCGAAGTACGGACCCGATCTCGGCACTCACGGGCTGCCACGCGCCCGCGCGCGGCGCGGGCCGCACCGCCCATGCCCCCGGGTCACCAACCCCGCCTCTCGGCCCTCTCGGCCCTCAGGAGCGTGCGGGAGACCGGCGAGGGGCGCGCCGCGTGCCGCCTGCAGAGCCGCCAGAGGCATTGTCGCCTCCGCTGGCGGGGTTCCCGCGCGCCCGCCCGCGCCTGCGCCCGCCCACGCCGCGCCCGCGGGCTCCGGATGCGCCGCCCTCCTTCTCCTTCTTCTCGATGGCAGTCCACGCGTGCTTGTCGACGGGTCGGCGGCGTGGTCGAGGGGAAGGTCGCCGGCGGCCGCAACTCTGCCGCCGTCGCTCCGCCGGCTCTGATCGAGTATCGGGCGTTGAGGGCGGCGGCGCAAAGCGGGTCTGGCGCATCCATCGCCACGAGCCTCGCGGCCGCGGTCGTGGCACACCTGGTGGCGGCTCTCGAGGCCGTCTCTACGGCGCTCGACGCCGTGTGACGCGCATTGCGAGCTCTTTGTCAAAGCACTGCTCGCCGTCGGACATCTCGTCGGCGCTGTGGAACTGCAGCTCCTCTTCCGCCGCCGCCGCCGCCGCCGCCGCCTCCTCCTCCTGGGCGGTGCGAGGCCGCGCTCGTAGGACCCGTGCCGATTCTGGCGGATCGCTGCGCTTTCGTGGACGAGGCGGTGCAGGTTCCGGAGCAGAGGAGCCGCTACCGCCACCGGCACCGCCGCCCACCGCCGCTGGGCGAGCACGAGCCGTGCGCCTCGCACCGACACCTGCCTCGGCAGCTGCCGCCGCCGCCGCTCTCCTCGGTGGGGGCGGCGCGCTGCGTGCCGCTGCTGCCGGCTTCGAGCCTTTTCGCCGCGCGCCAAGGCGCGCCGCTGAGGAGCCGCCACCGGCACCACCACCCTCCTCCGCCGCTGCACGAGCACGACTTGCGCGCCTCGCACCGACATCTTCCCCTGCAGCTGCCGCCGCCGCCGCATTCCTCGGAACGCGCGGCGCGCCGCGCGCCGCCTCCGCTGGCATCGCTGCTGCCGCAGCCTCTCGCCGCGCGCCAAGGCGCGCCGCTGCCGCGCCATCCAGGGAGGCGCGAGATGAGGAGTTAGAGCGGCGTGACCGCGTCGCCCCAAGCGGCCGATTCGGCGACACTCATAATTCATCGCAGCGGCCTGCTGTGTCAAGCATCCAACTTCCAACCCGCCGGCAACGCTCGCTCGGCTGGGTCATCGGCGAGGAGTGCCGCCGATGCAAAAGTGGGTGGATGCAACAGCTCGTCGAGCTTGCCAGGGCTGCCGCACACCCAGGCACAATCACAGACCGCGACAGGGACCCATGGAAAGGGCTGGGGGCACGCTGCGGGCTCGCACAGTGTCCGCGCGAAGCCAACTTTCTCTAAGTGAACGCGGGGTAAGGCTTGGTGAGTGGTTGGGGTGGCCTCAGGGGGCTCAGGCATCCCCAAGGGAGCCTCTGCGGTGCCACATAAAGATTCAGATGTCCCGTTTGCAAGTTTCAACATTCCCTCCCCAAACCGCTTTCCCCGGACCCCCCGCGGCATCTGGGGCCGGGGGCCGTGCTCACAGTCAGTGTACGTGCACAACGTGCAACACACCAATCCGAATGTCCGGTCTGCATCATCTATTCCCCCGACTGTCTCTCCCGTGTGTCTTTCGCCCAACCAGACCCTGACCCCACTCCACGCCCTCTTGCCCGCTCCGACGCTCTTGTCCCAAGCGGCCGAAGCGCGCCCCAAGAGACGCAGACCCCCCCCCCCCACCCCCACCGCCGCTGTGCGTCGTGCTCTGCCGCCGCAGGGTCTGCTGCTCTCTCTGCCGTGCTCGCGCGGCGGCCCCGCAGGAACCCGCGCCCTTGCCGCCCGGCCGGGGCTGGAGAGACTCAGCCGAGGATGATGCCGCGCTCCTTGCACACGGCCACCAGCTCGGGCTGCTTCTTGTTCTTGTAGCCCACCTCGAGCTTCTGCATGCGAGGGGAGGTGCGATGAGCATTGGGCGGGGGAGGGGCGAGTGGCGAGGGGAGGCGTCTCGCGCCTTCAAGCTCGGGGCGGCCCCCTCCTTGAGGGCGGCGGCCAGCGCCTTGCAGCCCTCGTCGCCAATCTGGTTGCCGTAGAGATAGAGCTCCTCGAGCCGCGGCGCTGCCCCCTCCTTGCCGAGGGCGGCGGCAAGCGCCTTGCAGCCCTCGTCGCCAATCTTGTTGCTGATGAGATTGAGCGTCTCGAGCCGCGGCGCTGCCCCGCTCGCGAGGACCTCCGCCAGCTGCGCCGCCTCCGCGTCGCCCCAGCCGAGGCCGCCGTAGCTCAGCTCGGTCGCCTTGCCAAACTGCTCCTCGAAGGCGGCCTCGTACAGCCGCTTCACCAGCGGCTTGTCGTCCTTGCCGTTGGTGAAGCTCTTCGTCTCCAGCTCCGCCGCGAACGCAGACGGCAGCAGCGGAGGGCGCCGGCCGCCGCCCTGGACGCAATCGCCGATGATGCTGCTCCAGTCGTACACCTTGCCGGCGCGCATCTTGCCGAGGTCGAGCGAGAGGTCGCCGGCCTTTGTCAGGCCCGCCCAACTGCTCTCTGTGGCGCACCAGCCGCGGTCAAAGTACTTGGCCACGTTGGTGCCCTCGGCCTGCTCCTCCGCCTTGTGGCCGTCCGGGAAGGAGGTCAGCCGCAGCACGGTCGTGTGCTGGTGGGAGTAGAGCGTGCCGAGGCAGCCCAGTCCCTGCTTGCAGAGCGCGTTCTGCTCCTCGGTGCGCAGGACGCCGTTGGGGGGGTCGGGGTGCTGGTGCAGCGAGCCGAAGTCCCAAAAGACGCCGAGCCGCGGGATGAGGTCGGGACGGCTGAGCAGGGCCTTGAGCGCCCTCGCGACGCGGGCGAGGTTGGCTCCGCGCGGGTCGGGGTGGTCCTTGGTCAGCCACGGGTAGGAGAGCGCGGCGACGGGAAGGTCATACTCGTTGGTCGCCTCGACGAGGTCGGCGAGGGAGAGGAAGGCCTCTTTGGGCAGCGCCTGACGGTGGGTGAGGACGCCGCCCGCCTCGGCGTGGCTGATGACCCACTGCGCGTCGAGGACGGCGACGGCGCCGCTCGCGAGGACCGGCTCGAGGTCGCCGCCGCCGTGCTCCCGCCACAGCTCCAGCTTCCCCTCGCTCACGCCGAGATCGGTGGCGGAGGGGAGGGCGTCGGCCGGCTGCGTTGGCGGGGCGGTGTCGGCGGGCGTCGGGGCGTCGAGTTCGACGGCGGGAGGGCCGGGCAGCTCCTCGGTCGGGGCCTCGACGCGGCTGGAGAAGCAGCCCATCGTGAGAAGTCGATCGACTTTGCATTTGCAAGGACACCTGTCGGGCTGGTGGGGCGCAGCGGGACTCGACAGCCCGGAGAGCGACTAAAACCTTAAGGTGGCAGTGCGAGTTCTGTGAATAGCCGGTATTTTTCTTGCATTTTTGCTCCCGGCTGAGGGAGCAAGCAAGCCCACCTACGCTTATATTAAGGGGAGGGCTCCCAGGGCTTGGAGGTCTTTTTAGTTGCAACCATGATGATAGGCAAGGCGTTCAGGAAAGTGAAAGAAGAGGACATGGTTCGACCTCGCGTGCGAGATGTGTGTCGCGACCCCTCGTCGCGGACACCTCCCGACACGGTGTGAAGACAACAGTCAACACAACTCCTCTCTCGACCGCTACTACGCCGCCGCTCTTCTCACTGCGCAGCTCACGGCTCTCCCTCCTGTTCCATCTCCTCCTCCTTCGCCGCCTCCTTCGCCTTCTTCGCCGCCTCCTCCGCCCGCTTTGCGGCCCTCTCCTGCCGCGATGCCGTGCGTAACCAACAGCGGGTCGTTGTTGACGAGTGGCGTGAGTACCATCAATGTTGGCACCATGGCAAAGGCGCAACTCTGAGGTGACTTCACGAGCATGCGCACCCATTTGACGCAGAGGTATCCGACAGCCGAGCCGGCTTCGTAGCCGCTGAGAAATGCAGAGTTGCCGCCGAGGGAGACCAAGCCCGGTGGCAATCGGAAGCATCGTGATCGAACGGTGCAGAGCCACTCAAAGTACTCCGTGCGCTCATCAAGAAGCAGGTATCTATGGCTAGCCCAAGACGAAGCTGAGTAGTAGTATCGGGTAGCGTTTGAAATCAGCTGAACTTGATTTCCTTCCAGCGCCCAATGCCGCACCGAAAGGTGTGTTCCGACAAGCCGCAATGGGGCAACATGACCTGGTTTGAGCTCCCAATTTCGCAGCGAAAGGTGTGCATCGAGATTCAGCAACGGGGCAAGTCCTTCAGGCCAACGCCAATCGCAATCGTTTCGCAGTTGGGGCGAAGTTCGGTCTTCCTCTTCGTAATCGATCGGCGGCGAGAGGCGGCGAGTGGTGACGCGAATTTCAACCGAAATCGCGCCACCCTTTGTGCACTTTGAGCAAGAGTCACTCCTCGTCTCTCGCAATGTTGTTGTGACGGTTGAATTTTTGCCGATTTCTGTAAGCGTCCATTTTTGAATAGGTTTGGAAACCACCGAGTCCGAGGGGTACGATTCCACATAATTCATCCGACGGAAACGTGGCGATGGCACCTGATTCGGGGCGCAGTGGGGGGGGGGGGTGAGGATTTGGTTCTGAAGAAGGTGGGGCGAACCGAGGGGGATGGGGGAGGGTCACCGTTTGGGCGAGCCAAGGCTGTGGCGCCGACGGCGGCACCCTTGTACGAGGCTGTGAGGGGAGCGGCGGCGAGAGGGGGGGCGGCAGCGACGCAGGCGAGCCGCACACGCGCGCGACTGAGGGAAGCGCGGGCGGCGGGAAAAAGGAGAACGGCGGCGGCGGCGAGGCGCAAAACGGGGGCGGCGGAAGTGGGGGCGACGGCGGCGGCGGAGTGAACGGCGGCGCGCGCACGGACGGCGACGAAATCGACGGCGGGGAGGGGCAGGGCTGCATGGCGGCGGCAGGCGCGCGCACATTCGTCGTGTTTTCGCATTGGCATTCCACGTGCTCCTCGGCGACCTGCGTGCGCGGGAACGGCAGGGGTCATGTCGCGCGCACCGGGCGGCGCCGTGCTCGCAGCAGCCGGGATCGCGGCAGAGTATGGTGGAGAGCTCTACCCGCGCACCTGCCCAGCGATGAGCTTGACGCCGCTCCTGGCAGGCGAGGCAGGGATCTCGGCGACGTTGGAGAGCGGGCGCACGATGTCGTGGGCGACGCCCGTCCGCAGCCACGTCGTGGTGACGATGATGGCGAGGAGCATCACGGTGGAGAGGAGCGTCCCGGCGCTGCTTGGGCTCGCTCGAGTTTCCGGTCTGGGCGCGGCGCGGCACGGGGTTTTTCATTTATCAGGGCTTGAAGGTGGACCTCCAAGAATATTCACCATTCTTACAGTGGTGTAGCTTGCGCATCGGCTGCAGCCTCTGCTGGGGCGGAATGCGCGGGGTTTTCGGCGCGATGCCCTCGGTGAGTACCGGTACACGCTACCGCGGTGCCGCAAGCTCTCCTGCGCGCGCGTGACGTGTGGGACGCGTGCGCTGCGCTCAAACGTCGCGATGGCGATAGGCGCTCGAGCCGGCGCACAGCGGATAGGTGCGCCGCGCAGGGGGGGTCGGAGGGGTGCGAGAGGGGGCGTGGGTCGGGCGCGCACCGGACGGCCCTGGGAACGGCCGTCACGTCGAGGAGTGGGGCTGTTGGCGGCCGAGCGCCGAGGCGAGCCGCTCTGCTGCGCCGCCGACAGCCCCTCTTCCGAGCCGGCGCGTGGAGGCGAGCCGCGCCCGGTGTCGCTGGTGCGGGGGCGGCGCAGCGTTTATCCCCCCCCCCCCCCCGCCCGCGCCCGCCCGCCCGCCCGCCCGCCCTCAGGCCTTGCCCCTCCGCAGGCGCGGGAGCGCTCGCGGCGAGCACCTCCTACCTCTCGTCGCCCGGCTGCTCCCTTTCCCCGTCACCCGCCGCGCCCTCGCCCGGCCGCCCCACCGCGCACCGG